GAATCTTTAAATTTACAGTTAATAATTCAGCAATGGCTGACCCTGCACCTGCCCCCCTCTAATCATGATGTATGAAGATTGAGAAGACTTCAGTGAACACAAATTTGTCACCATCAGAAACAGACCCCCCCGTGTTTCTGTTTTTGTTGTGTGAGTCAGGAGCTTCCTACGTGGCTGTTTTGGAACTTCCCGTTGCTAGAACTCTTAAGTGTTCATCAGCACCACTGGTTGGGAAGGGGTTTTGGTCCCTTCACGTTTGGGCTGAGCTTGAGACTTGACAGGTATAAACAGTTCTGATCAGACACCATTTACTGTGTCATAAATACTGCTAGGGGGGCAGTGAAGTTCCAGGACAGTAAAGAGAAACTTGCTAGTAAGAAAAAAAACAAACCACCAAAATAAGCAAAAACAAAAACAAAAACCCTCCTTATTAAACACTGCTTGGAACTGCAAAAATCACTTGTTTTGCCCATTTCATTGTTTTGAGACAAGATTTCACGCTGCACTCCAAGCTGACCTCAAATCACCATGTACTGCCCAGGTTAACCTTGAACTCATTAACAATAATACTCCTGCCTCAGCCTCCACGAAAGGCTCCACCTCATTTTTGCTCCTAAAATTTTGACATCTCAGACCAAAAGGGTAAAAAACAATATTTAGCAATTTTACTTCATGAACTTTCGAGTATTAACCAAAAATTCTGTCACCAAATCTTAGAACAAAGGAGGTGCCACAGCATGCGCGGGGTGTCCGAGGAAGTGCGAGGGGCAGGGCGAGACATGGTGGCCCGGCCCGCCGGTCTCAGAATTGGCAGGAGGCTGGGAGGGCCCCGGCCCCGTCGGGCGGTGGCTCGCCCTGGGGCGGGAGCGTCCGGGGAGGAGGAGAGAGCGAGAGAGGGGCGGAGCGGCCCGCGCGTCCCCACGCCCACCCTGGCCAGGATTGGCCGAGGCTCAGGGGCCCCGCCCCCTCGGGCGAGGCCGGGGCTGCGGCCCAGAGGCGCGTGGGGCGGGCGGGGCAGTCCGGGCTCGTTGCTGTGCCTGGGGCTGGGGCTGTGCGCTGGACGCCGGCCAGGGATGCTTCCGCCCGACCGCTGTGCGGGTCTTGGGCTGTGGCGGAGGGATGGCGAATGTGCGGGTGGCCGTAAGGGTCCGGCCTCTCAGCAAGCGGTGAGTCTGGCAGGAGGGGGCGCCTGAGGCGTCAAGTGAACTGAGCGGAGCGCGAGGTCCCCGCTTTCCTCTAGGCGGACTGGTGCGGAGAAAAATCCAGACTCAAAGTGCCCGGAGGGCTCAGCGTCCAGAAGCCATGAAGGCCTGGAGGGACAGGGCTTCAAGCAGCGTCCTAGGAGACAGCGGCTCCTGTGTGGCTTCAGGGGTCGCTTGCCCTGGGTGCACGTCCCTGGCATCTTGTCAACAAGTTTCTAGGGCGCCTGACTCGGGTCTTGGTGCACTCAGTAGGGCCTTTCTCATGCATATCGACGTGAGGAGGTGCATAGGGATGGGCAGTCTCCTCTCCTCTCCTCTGGGTGTCCCGGGAG